TTCAACCCTCTAACAGTAGAGAGGACAATTACCTTGCTCAAGTGTGTTAAATGCTTCTAATTACCTGTCTTCCCACTTCCATAAAGAAAAGGGCAATTCTAGCTCCTCTCCACCTCTTACTCACTAATCCTCAAGGAAGGAACAGTAAGTATATAATCTGATTGATAGACTACCATTCCTTGAGTCACATTTCCTAGTAAGTGAAGTTCATATATTATAGGCCACTGCCCAAACAAGATGCAGACTCTTGCACTTTGGAACCTGCATGTGTTCAGGTCCAAGGGACACTTGGGAAACCGCCAGTCTCTGAGAAGTAAGTAACCAGTATCTGCTCACAGGCCTTTCCTCTGCTTTCAGCTTCAGCCTGGGTGAATAAGCTAGGTGAGGCTCCCTTACAGACTTGATTGCCCATATTTCCAAGGTGGAAAGGGAGTAGAAAGGCCCATTTGGCTATATTTCTAAACCTATTTCCTAATATCCACTTTTAACTGAAACTCAATGAAAGGGAGTTCCCGGAAATTTGCTTAGATTAATAAAGTTGGTACTTCTCATTTATCTATCTGTTTACTTATGTAATCTCAGATGGAAAGGATGGGTAAGATTCAGTCTCTCTCTGAAAAATTTAAATATACTAATTGGGACCTTGAGTAAAAAGATAAGAGCTGCCACAAAGGAGAAAGCACCATTGGGGAAGATGGCAGCCCTTGGTCTCTGCAGCTGGAATTCAGGAACAGACAGGTAGGTAGATATCTATTATAAGGAAAGCTATGCAACTCAAGCAAAGCTTTAAGATGCACAGCTTCTTAGGCATAAGGTAGAATTATTCTAGCTATCACTTTTTCTTCTTTTTGCCTTTTTTTTTTTTTTAAATCATGTCTCTGCCTGTAAGGGCCTTTAAATTGCCCAGAAGTAGCTAACGTCTAGGTGAGTAGAACAATGCTACCCAAAATGTGGACAGGCAGTATCAGCAAGGCCTGGAAGCTTGCTAAAAATGAAAATGTGGGGTCCCCACCCCAGGCCTTCAGAATCTCTGGGAAGGAGCCTAGGAACCTATTGTTTCAATAAGCTCTCCAGGTAATTCTTATGCTTGCTAAAATTTGAGACACACAGAGAGAGCATTAGTAGGAGATTTTAGAGAGAATTTTGGGAAGTTGGATATTAGTAGCCAACCCTAAATTAGCTTCTCAAAATTCTGTTTCTCTCTATCTTGTTTGGAACTTCATCCAGGGGTAAGAAGAGAACTAAAAAAAAGACTAGAACCATGGTTTCTTCATAGGTTCAGGGTTCACCCCAACACTACAGGCTTTTATACTGCTTTGGTTCATTTGTTTCACAGAAGCCCAGACTAGGTATTCTACAGAAGAGATTCTTCTTGAGTGAAAGTAGAAAAAAAAAAAATTCAATGTAACTATTACAAACTTTAATGCTAAGAAAGAATAATAAAAAGTATACACCTAGAACTTGTTTATAGAAGTGAAATTTCCCAGTCTCTGAAAAGGGGATCAGCTTACAAAAGAGGTTTCAGTCTCATAGGTAGGACAAGATTAGGAGAAAATAAAATAAAATGAAGGAAATCACACTCAGGTGAAGAAAAATATTGATCTCATCATATTGCCCCAGCTAGACAAAAATATGACAAGAAAAAATTTTAAGTAGGGGAGTGAGAATCAGCACTCTCTGTAAAAACCCCTACAGAAACACCCCACAAGGAACTCCTCCTTGATAACTGGAACTGTGATACTCTAGTTATTTTAAAAAGTGAAAATATTTAAGAAGAGAAAGATCAGTGTAAATTCTTCAAGCATCATTAAGTAAGTTTCAGACTGTCTTTGCTTATGTAGACAGGACAACAGGTATTGTCTAGGCTGTAAAGGTACCTGCCTCGGAAATAAAAGAAGTTAAGACTTGAAGAGAAAGAACAGAAAAGCAGAACTGTACTAAATAGGGTCCAGGGAGTATGGCAACTGATCAAGCTCAGGGCTGGGCTACAGGCTGAACTGAAGAGAAATAAACAACTCCTAGGGAAAGTGAAGGCGGGCAAAATGCATTTAGCATTAGTGCAGGTCTAGGGCTTTTTGGCATCACCCTGTCTCTATGGAGATTTCACTGGCAGATTCCAAAGTCATATGTGAGGAGAACAGAAATCTAAGTCTGAAAACAAAAAGCAAATGTAGAGAAGGAAAGAAAGTACTAAGACCTAGCAAAGAGTATGAGCCCACCTGGGGATAAAGGACTAGAAACAACTTAGATGGAAGGTTAAAGCCTTAAGGCTCAGCTGGACCTAAATAGGAATGAATATTCAGAGGGAACTAGGATATTGGAAGCTTATCTCTCTGACAAAGAAAAGGAAACAGAGGTAAGAAGGAATGTTTCAGTCCCCATCGAAGATACTCAGTTTAAGTCTTAGAAATTCAATTCTAAGGAAAGGTGGAGCTTAGGGGTGAAAAGCCACTAACCCGGAGAATTCCTGGACCAATGAGGAAACACAAGTTCCTGGACCAGTGAAAATACAAGTTCCAAAAGTTCAACAGCAGCTCAAGGATCAGCTGAAGGTAATTCTCCATGGTAGACAAAAGTGAAACCCTCTAACCAGGAAGCAGAACTTAGAGGCAGATATTCAAGTCCAGAACTAAAACAATTCTTGAGATCTTTCTGGCAATGAGAAATTCAGAGAAAAGAGTAGGAAACTGAGACTGCAAAGAAGGCATGTAAGACAATGTATTTCACTTGAAGAGCTTCCTACTATAAATATGGGGTATCCTGCCCAGAAAAGAAGGAAGTTCTTTCACTAAACAGAAGAAGATCTTCAGCAATGGTGAAGGATGGGTAGAAATAGGGTTCACAGGAGCAATGAAAAACGAAAAGGTTCTAAATACTTGGAATAGGCATCAAGAAAGGCCCAGAGCCACCAAAGCAAATTTCTAAAATTTTCAAGGAGAATAGAATCCCTCATAAACATATGGATAGGAAGCAAAGTATCAGAATGAATCTAACTATCCTCATAAGAAGAGATTTCCCAATATAAGTTTTAAATTGACAGTTGATGGACTCCAGACTGCTTAGTAAACTATAAAGGCTGAACTATAACATGCTAGATTATACTCATTAATAGCAATTTAAGAGTCACATTGTAAAGGAGATGGCAACAACAGACTTCTTTCTGAACTTGACACCACAGACCCCTCATTATACTCAAGGTAGAGCGTTTTGGATTTTTGTTTGTTTGTTTGTTTCGAGTCAGGGTTTCACTCTGTTGCCCAGGCCAGAGTGCAATGGCACAGTCATGGCTCACCCAGCCTCCAACTCCTAGGCTTAAGTGATCCTCCTGTATCAGCTTTCAGAATAGCTGGGACTACAGATGCGTGCCACTACACCCAGCTAATTTGTGTTTGTGTGACTTTTTTTTGTAGAGATGAGGTCTCACTATGTTGCCCAGGTTGGTCAAGCTAGAATTCAGTCCTCCTCTCCTACCACTGTCCCCCACTCATTCTGCCCCAGCCATACTAGCTTCCTTCACATTCCTAGAATATGCCAAGAACATATCTGCCTCAAAATCTTGTCACCTAGCCGGGCTTGGTGGCTCAGCCCGTAATTCCGTGCCTTTGGAAGGCTGAGGTGAGTGGATTGCCTGAGCCCGCCTAGGCAGGCAAAACCTCATCTCAAATAAATCAAAAAATTAGCTGGGCGTGGTAGTGCACGCCTGTAGTTCCAGCTACTCGGAAGGCTGAGGCGGAAGGATCACCGGAGCCCAGCAGGTCGAGGCTGTGGTGGCCGAGAGCGGCCACTGCACTCCAGTCTGGGCGACAGAGTGAGACTCCAACTCAAAAAAAAACAAAACAAAAAATCTTATCACCTGCCATTGTCTCTTTACACTGAAGGAGTAACATCTATTATAAAACAAAATTTCTAGGTTACAACAGCTAGAGTACTCTCTCCATTTCAGTAGGACCACCTCTGGCTGAGACTTAGCAGAGAAGACACTGCAGTGGAAAGAATTTGAAACTTTAATGCTCTTACAGTTTAGTTTGCGAGGGGAGGTGGCTTTTATTTTTAGACTTTAAATTTCTCCAAGAATTGGAAGAAATTCATATTCAAATAGTAAGCATTATTATGCAGCTAGAAATTTATTTGGGGGTTAGGTTTATGATGTCATAAGGTGCTCATTGTGCAACCTCTGCTGATACTGATAGGACAAAGTGGCCAGATGCAATCTGAGATGGAAAATAGAAGAAAAAGTGAATATTCAGCCTCAGGTAATGCATGGCCCTCATTAGTGTCTAATGCATTTCAGTCTTCTAACCACAAAGGCCGAATGCCCATCCCTGACCCACAAAGAGCACTGGTAAATATCAGAGAGAGGGCTCCTTCAAAGGGGCAGCCTTTTCTTGTTGCCCATAAATTTGTCTGTTAAACCCAAAGGAGTAATGAAAGTAACTATAGTGATGTCTGTGTCCCTTCCCCCTAGGGAAAGCAGTGGTGTTAATACAACTGGCTCTTATATGGCTTTCTCAAAAGGCCACCAGAGAAGAGTTTCTAAGGAGCCTGTCCTTATTTAGGCCACTGTTCTCTATGTCAAGTTAACATGCTTATACATGGCCCAATCATGACATCTTCTTGTCCTGCCAGTGTCAGCAACATCAGGGATCACATTTCCAGTCTCCTGGAAGTTGGTTCTAGTTGTCAATAATGATTACCCTTAGGACTCAGTTGTCTTACATTAGGAGTAAGAGACAAAATGCCTTACAGAATTCTCAATCTAGGATTACCAAGGAGCTCTGAATAAAGCAGTCCTTTCTTGGTCTGTACCTTCTATGTGGGGAAGGGGTAAGTGGTAAGATTCAGGCACCCTGAACCCAGACAAAGCTAACAAAGTTTGTTAGAACTAGAACCCATGTCTCCTGACTCCCAGACTAGCGTTCTTTATGCTCCCCCACATCATACAGTTCAACTCAGAATTTAACTTATCCCAAGGCACAAAACAGAAAGACACCCACACCTACCTGCTGGTGGCGTTGTTATTGCTACTTGCACTGAGTGCTGCTCAGGAGATCCCAGCAGGGTGACATTCACGGAATAATCGGTTGTCGGGTACAGATCCAAACACACAATAGGAGCATGTTCCTGCGTTGTGAAGTTAAATGATGTTGCGTGGTAAAAGTTATCCAGATACCACCTTTGACCCACAACTCTAAACTGTCATGGGAGTAAAAGAAAATGTTGCATTAAATTTTCTCTTGGCTTGTAAATGTCTAGACCATAAACAAAATGGAGTTAAAGTAAGAAAGTTTCTACTATGTATCCTCATCCACTTAGAATTATATTTTAATATAATAGCAAGCTAAACTGAAGAAGGACTTTACAAAGCTCCCATTCAACTTCCCTCATAACCAGGTATAGGACTAAGCTTAACATGCATAATTACATCTCAGATGAATACAGTGTCAGGCTATTCTAAAGTAATTCCTTGAAGCCCACCCAAATGAAAGAGATTGCACGAGAGCTACTGAGTAAAATTCTTTTAATTTCTTTTCATTGTACGGAATCCAGAGACAGGCCTCATAGAACAGAATACTTCAACTCTATGGGTACTACCCCAGATTATGCATTTAGAGTCACTGTGCAATGGTACTTCACTTGATTCATCTTATTAAAGCTCTGGCAAAAGAGCTTTTGATCAATGGAGCATTTATACACACTGTCACCCAATCATACTCTATCCACTGTCAACTCAGACAGAAGGAGCCACAGGGAAAACACTTTTGTGATGGTCCCATAAGTAACATGATCGGCTCTTGATCAGTGTACTGTAGCTGGTGGAGATGCTGGTATCATTGGCTTTATCACACTCCATCTCTCCTCATCACTGTCAATCACTAACTCTTCTGCATCAGTTTTCCATGGTCACCCGAGACCTTGACACCTGATTCATAAGGTTTCCTCTCTCCTGAACTCTTCAAACACTCTTGGGTAACTTAAAAGTTCATATAGATAAGCCATCAAAACTTGGCCTCAGAGTTCCTTGAGCTCAAAGCTGTAAACTTCCTCTCCTCCACTTCAGTCATGCATATCCATGGCAACACGCTAGACCGTGTCATCATCAGAGCTGCTCCCCGAAGATCTTGTAGACTCCTCTCCTTTTGGACCACTTACTAGTGAGGCATAACATGCATTCACATGTGTTTAAGCAATACATATATTCTTTTGTGCAAACTGCTTTTGAACATTTACTTTTTTCCTATGGATTTAGGTGCTTCACCTGTTACATAAATTAATCTTTGTTCAACACATTAAAAAAAAAAGCTATATACATATATTGAGTCAGGGTCTCACTCTGTCATCCAGGTTGGAATGCAGTGGCATTATCACAACAATCATGGCTCACAGCAGCCTCGACCTCTTGGGCTCAGGCAATCCTTCCACTTCAGCATCCCGAGTAGCTGGGACTGCAGGCATGCACTACCACATCTGGCTAATTTTTTAATTTTTTTGTAGAGACAAAAAATTACTATGTTGCCCGGGCTGGTTTTGAACTCCTGAGCTCAAGTGATCCACCTGCCTCAGCCTCCCAAAGTGCTGGGGTTACAGGCATGAGCCACCACGCCTGTCCAAAAGCAGTTGTTTTTTTTTCAATTTTACTCTTTAATAATTTACAAAGAATCATTTTTTTCCTTTTTCTTTTCTTTTTTTTTTTAGTTAAAGTCTCACACTGTTGCCCAGGCTGAAGTGCAGTGAGCCCACGGGTTCAAGATCAGCCCGGGCAACTTGGTGAGACCTCATCTCTACAATAAATCAAAAAATTAGCCAGGCATGGTAGCACACGCCTGTAGTTCCAGTTACTTGGAAGGCTGAGACGGAAGGATCTTCTGAGTCCAGCAGGTCAATGCTGGGGTGGCCATGAGTGTGCCACTGCACTCCAGCCTTGGCAAGAGTGAGACTCTGACTCTAAAAAAAAACATTATTTGAGTACTTGACTATGTTCCTAGCCTCAGTGTTCTTTCTAATATGAAAATGTGAATATTTCACTTGCTTGCTTAAAATTCCCCAGTGGCTCCACACAGACATCACAATAAAAATCCAAATTCAGAAGCATAGCATACAGGGCTTCTCATGATCTGGCCACTGCTTGGAACATCTTCCTACTCCCCTTTGCTTTCTCTGTTATTCAGTCTGCTAGGCTACTTGTCCACAGTGCCCTCCTTCAGCCTTTCCTCTGCTCTTTTATCTAACTAATTCCCACTTATTTTTTTACGACTTAGCATAGTCTTTGCTTCTTGTTTATAAAAATTGTACCTGGACATACACATAGACACACAGACATAAACACACACACAAATCTCCAATTTTTATTTATTCACTTTTTTTAATTGTAAGAGACAAAGTCTGGAGTGCACTGGACCAATCATAGCTCACTGCAGCCTTGAATTCCTGGGTTCAAGCGATCGATCCTCCTGTATCAGTCTCCCAAGTAACTGGGCCTACAGGCACCTGCCTGGCCTATTTATTTACTTTTATTATTCCAATATTTAGTTACTTTTTATCAAAGCAGTTATTATACTGCATTGTAGTTGCCTGTTTACTAATATATTTCTATTAGTTTGAGTTGGAACTGTCAGGTTAATACATGATATTCTTTTCGTAAATGGCTACTGAATAAATTAATTGATTTTAATTGAACACTTACCAAGTTTACTCCCTACCAGATGATTTACTAGGCACTAAAAATGACACAAATATAAATCTTAGTTTCTGCCTGAATTTACTTTTAATTTTATTTGTGATAGTAAGAAAAAAATCAAGTTAAATGGGGTTCAGTAGCCATGCAATGAGTTTCTTAAAAAATCTATGCCCAAATGTGAATTTGATGGCAAAATAAGAAGTAACTATTAAACGCATTAAAACCAAATGTAAGCGTGAAATGCCAGGCAAGGAAAATGATAGAAAGTCACCAAGCATAGTGTCTTTCTTCAACTTAGTCCTTTACTTACATCCATCTCACATCTCGCTCTAGAAACAACAGTCAAAAACTGTCTAGGAGTTCATTCGTTTTTTAAGTACTTTGGATCTTCACTTGGAGATCACCCCATTTTCTTAGCAACACAATTCTTTCATAGATAGCATAAGACATCTTCTTACTTGGTACATTCGTTCTGATCCAACTTTCCTAGAATGCCTATTCAGTTTCAAACAAGTTTCATTAAATAATGAAATATTGAAAATTCCATCATCTTCTAAGAGATCATTTTCTAAAAGATAAAAGAAAACATATAGATAGGTTTATCACATCTTAGCAAAACACATCATAGCTAAGTACAAAAGAAATTCTGACACCTTAAGAGAGCCAATTGGGTGTTTATTAGGATGAGCATTAAATATGGCATCAGCAGACTTAACTTCAAGTCCTATCTCTGCAACTTCTTGATTATAATGATCTTAGCTTAGGTCACTGAACCATTCTGAACTTCAATTTTCATACATGTGAAACCAAGTAATCCAGCATGCTGTTTTTTATGTCACAGGCTGAGAGGATCAAATGAAATTTTTTTTTTTTTTGAGTTGGAATCTCAATGTCGCAGTGGCATGCTCACAGCCACCGCAGCCTTGATCTGCTGGGCTCAGGCGATCCTTTCACCTCAGCTTTCCAAGTAGCTGAAACCACAGGCATACGCCATCATGCCCAGCTAGAGACAAGATCTCACCAAGTTGCCCAGGTTGGTCTCAAACCCCTGGGCTCAGGCAATTCTCTTGCCTTGGTCTTCCAAAGTGCGGGAATTGCAAGAGTGTGCCACTGTGCCTGGCCTATTTTTTTCTTTTTTTGAGTAGGAGTTTCACTCTGTCACCCAGGCTGGATTACAGTGATACACTCACGGTCACCCCAGTCTTGACCTGCTGGTCTCAGGTGATCCTTCCGCCTCAGCCTTCCAACTAGCTGGAACCACAGGCACACACCACCATGCCCAACTAATTTTTTGGTATACTGTAGAGACGAGGTCTCATCAAGTTGCCCAGGCAGGTCTTGAACCTTGGACTCAGGCAATCCTCTCGCCTCAGCCTCCCAAAGTGCTGGGATTACAGATGTGAGCCACCATGCCCAGCTGAAATATTTCAGAATTGCCATAAATTAAGAAAGCTATGCTACTTTTACAGAATTAATCCTAACACTTGAATATCCCATAGTAAAATGTCATGAAGGTAAGCATACCAGTAGCCAGAAAGCTTGAGAATAAGGCAAAAGGAGAATAAAAATGAAAAGTTACGAATTAAAATTCTCAAGGCAAGTGCTTTTCAACCTAGAAAATGACCAGAAAGTAGTTGACCAAGCAAGAGGAAATTTGCTTTCACAGCAGACAATATTTTAAGAGCTACTCAGCTGAGTACTAAGGTAATAAAAAAAGTACTAAGGCAAAAAATAAAGCGAACTTGTTTCAACCATTGTATAGAAAAGAGTCATTTCATACATCCTGCAGCCTTTCCTAATTTAATGCAGTTAAAGAGAAGAGGTCTGTTACTAAAGAATTGAAGAAATCACAAAGAGTCCAAGAGAAACATGGATAGATTTTGAACAAAAGCAAATTTCCTGACACACAAGCCTGTGTTTCCTACCAATGAGAAAAAGTTTAAATGTCTATCAGAGAGGAGCTATTTTGTAACTACCTTTTATGTGTATTTCTCCCATGAGAGTTTCTGCTACCTAAGAAGTAATCAGAGAACAACAACAAAAAAAATGATTCAAGTCAAAATCAGAACTGTCCACAGCATTTTCAATATCACTGACATATGTAGCCCAAGGCGATGAGCTGGAAGAAAATATTCCTGGCTATAATTGGAAAATGTAGAAATATGGTGATGAGAGAGAATTTGAAGATCTATCATATGTGCTCTCCTTTATCTTCACAACTGTTATTTTTAAGGTTTCATAAGGACATCAGAAACTAAAATTGCCACATGTGTGCATATATTTTCAAGGAACACCAAATGTATGCATGTAAAAAATGTATGTGTGCATGGAAGAAATACCACATAAAGCAATGTCTGTATACAAACAGAAGGGCAGCAGAAGCCCTGTCTGCTCAATTCCATCTCACTGTGATTTTCACATGAGACAGTCATTACAGGCTGAATTCAGGGGAAGATTGCAATGTGAACAAAGGCATCTGGCTCCCACTTCCCACGCCCAATCCTGACAGAAGTGACTGGGAATAAATAAAAATGGGTCAAAATTTGCATCTGGGTTGGATAGAAAGGTCTGTTGCCTCACACAGGTGGAAACATGAAGAGTTTTTGGCTCAGTACAGTATGGAAGAGACTAGGCTAAAGAAAGGCCCTGAGAGCTACTGTACAACCTGCCTTCCAAGTGAAGGAACATGGTCTCAAAGTTTCAAAGGAAGGAACTAGAGTAGACCAGGCAGTCATGGAGGAAGCAAGACAGGCCACAGGACAAATCAGTGAAGAATGCTCCATCTGGAGCCATTTAGTCCAGTGGCTCCCAAACTTAACTACACATCAGAATCACCCAAATACAGCAGAGCTGAAATAATGCTTAAACATCTCTATATCTATCTATATATATTTTTTTTGAGTCAGGGTCTCACTCTGTCACCCAGATTGGAGTACAGTGGCACAACCTTGGCTCACGGCAGACTCAACTTCCCGGGCTCAGGCGATCCTTCTGCCACAACCTTCTGACTAGCTGGGGCTACAGGCACGCACCACCACGCCTGGCTAATTTCTTGATTTTTGTAGAAACAAGGTCTTGCTATGTTGCCTAGGCTAGTCTTAAACTCCTAAACTCAAGCAATCCTCCCATCTCAGCCTCCCAAAGTGCTGGGATTACAGGCATGAGCCACCACACCCAGTCCAACTATAGTTTTTTTGGAGTTCACCAAGCCATTAACCTGATAGGCAGCCAGGATAAAAAAGTATATATACTACTATTGTTATTGCTACTGCTGCTGCTGCTACTACTACCACCACCACCACCACCACTGCTACTACTACTACTACTACTAATAGTCCTTCTTTAGCACAGTGGAGATCAACAACAGGGAAGGACTTTGAAGTAGAGGCCTAGGGACCTGAAGGTCCTACCTGACAAAGAACATTGGTTGACAGAAGAAATAAGGGGCTTGCCTCTTTTCTACCTGGGTAGGTTGCAGCACCATAAAGAAGCCAGGTCCAAAGCAAACAGCTTCACTAATAAAGACGCTAATGTGCTCAGAAATAAAACCAAAGGTTGTAGGCTTTCTCACAGCTGCTGCCCAAAGGACACTGGATCACCCAACCAGCAGTAAATCCTTCATGCTGAGATCTGAGAAAAAAATACTAATATTATTCAATAAAAGATCAAAGAGAATGCCATCCATTTTCTCATGAAGGAAATATCAGACCCAAACACAACTTTTATCTTCCAAAGGATAATCTAGAAGCCATAAAATAAATAAATAAATTTAAAAGCCCCCAAAGGAGATGGAAGGAGAGAGAAATTATGCTTAGGAGGCAAAGAACAAGCATATTTTTTGAAAAAGAAAATACTGAGCCAAAGTAACGGTAAAATTAGGCAGCATCTGTTTTGTACTTTCAGTAAAAATTTTTAGAAATGGATTCAAACAAGAGATAAAGGATGAGATAATATGAGAATGTGACAGCAGAGAGGAAACTGGTTGAGAGAGGCAGAAATAAAAAGGGAACTAGATGAGACCCAAAGAAAAGGAAATGAAAGTTCAACAACAGAATTTGAAGTGCATTAGAAATGGGGTAAAGATCAGAAATGTCAAAGCAAAAATGCATATATGTGTAAATGCATATAGGGAACAAACTTGTTACATACTCACAGAAGGCAGAGAAAAAAGACATGCACAATAAATGCGGGAAATGGAAAACCAACGTGGGCAAACAGGAAATTCCACATAGGGGTATTTAAAGAGCCAAAATCAGACTTTTAAAAAAGTAATAATCAGAGATTTAATGAAAGGAAATGTTCCTAATGTGTAGATAGACCAAAATCTAATGATTAGAAAAATCACAGGGTACTAGGAAAACTGAATGCAGAATATGAACATTTATACCTACCCTCACAGGCTGAAGTTTCATGAAGAGATTCCTGTGTCATATATTATGTAATTCCCTTAAAAAAGGTCAAGCACATAGTAGGTGGCCAACAAACATTTGCCAGGTGCATTAATAAATGATTGTCTTCAATTTTATGGCTAAAGGAAGTCTTTATGATATTCAAGCTGAATATCACATTGCTTACCAAGGGTATTTTTAAAAAAGAAAGTCACACCTTCCTCCAACTCTTCTTTCAAATCTTTAACTGCCCAAAGCCAATATGAATTAGTTCTAGAATTCTGAAAACAAAAGGTTATGAACCAAGAATTTTATCTTCAGTCAAACTTTCATTCACATGTGAAGGCAACAAAAGACACTGACAAATCATCAAGGACTTGGGAAGTATACCATTCCCTCAGCGAGAAGATAGAAATCACAGTCCAGAGAGAGAAAAATAGAGAAAAAATAGAGAGGGTGGTATGAAAGGACTATCAATAAGCACTGAAACTCTTTAAAATAGATAAAATCATAAAACAGATAAAATCATTGCTACAAATATTGCTATAAGTCAATATAAAATGAATTCTTTAAAGATATATATTAGTGGCAACCTCTTCAGTTCCCCTCCCACTGTGGAAGCTTTTCTGTCCTCTCAATAAATCCTGCTTTATTAAAAAAAAAAAAAAAAACAATTTTATATATATATATATGAAACTGAAAATGTCATATTAAGTCAATAATATAAGGGAAGAAACAAAAAGGAAGTAAAGACTGTTAACTTCCTTATCTTACTCAGAAAGAAGCTAATATTATTTCAGTCTTAACACTGGTAATAAGAGAAATGCACACCCAAATAAGTTTGGTTTTTTAAAATGTGTTCACTTGCAGAAGAAAAACAAAATTTAAACTGTCTGACTAACTGAAAAAGAAAATCTGTGTAGCAAAAAGTCAGAAAACAAAAGATGTAGCAAAAGTAGCATAAAAAAGAGAAAAAATAAAATAAGATCACAGAAGAAAGGGAAGTCATATCACAAATAACAATAACGCAAGTTGGATAACTTATCTATTCAAAAATAAAACTTTTCCAAGAACAGTTCTCAACACATGCTGTCTCTTAGGGTACACCTGTAGAAATATTGTCTAGTATTATCCAGAAAGTTTTTGTTTTTACTTTTAAAATTTTGTTTACTGCTGGGTG